TTACTGATAGTCCTATTATTGACTTCTTACTATTAATATTATAATTAAAAAGTTTCTATATATCTGGAAGAATATAAAAAGTCGTGTCTAAAGTATGTGTGTGTGAATTAAAAAATAGTTCTTATAATATATAGCACGTGTCTAATTGAAACAGTTAACCGCAAAACTGTGGGTGTCTTGTCAGAAGTTGAAATAGCAACAAGTGCTGGTCTGCGTAAAAGGAATTAAAAGTCCATATGAATTTACAGAACAAATTAAAACAGAACTTGATGACATTCCCCTTTTACACTTTTTCATTCCAATAATTTTGAAGTTTGGAATGTTTTTGATTTTTTTTATAGACACGCGTCAGAATGGAATTAATATATTTTGACATACAATATGAAAAAATTCCTTCCTTTTATGGAGTTTAATTTAATTAATTCACATAGTATTTTCAAATGTTATATGACAGTTTAAGAGGAAGATAATGTTTGCATTTATAAAGTCATAAATTATAAAACTAATTTGTATACAGATTCATTATCGTGTGTCAGTGTCAAACTGACATTAAAGCTTGAATACATTTTAATAAAATATATCACTAATTCTAAATATATAATTTAAGTATATAGGTATTTGTAAGAGGATGTTTAAACTTGTACATGTGTTCAAGGATCTGACTGGGCAGTAAATTTAATACGCTTAAGTGCGTCTCATTTCTCATTTTGTTGATCGTAGAAAATGGTAGAGTGATTATTTAATCTATTCCAAGTCTGTGAGAGTCTTTTTTTCAGTAAATGTTTTGTTAATATATAAGTCTTTTATATAAGAGTAAATGTCTTTTGTTCGGTAATTTAAATTTAGTTATTTTTATTGTTTCGTTTAAATTTGTATTAATTACGACAGGTACCTAACCTATATTTAATTAATATTTTCTTATCCCAAAATTTCAACTGTCCTAATATTCTTTTATTTATAATCAATAAAGAATCTTTTGTATTTTATTGTAAAATAAAACTTACTTACTCACTGTAACATTTACTTATATTTTATAATATTTAGGAAATATTTTATACGAAAGAAAAATTATAAGAAATAGTTTATGCATTAATTGTCTCGTAGCCTTAAAGAGGTTAAAATAATTATGACTTACAAAGTATCTTTATGCATAAGATATTATAACAACGTTTTCAAAGTGAGAATATAACTTTTATAATTGTCGTCATTTTGCATATTTCTTTAATTAACACGAGAAAACCGTGATCCCATCAAGATGTAATATTCTAGATTAAATTAAAAATTTAAATATAATTAACACTATTAGGTCTTTAAGATTGTATTCTTAACAAATTCTCGTTTAATATTAAATATTCTACGCGGTGGTTCGTTAATTATTTAAATAGTTAAAGTTTTATTTTAGACTTTTAACTAAAAAGAAATAAATTTCTCAGTACTGAATTTAATCATAGTAATACTAATTGAAAATTATTTTACATTAAATTACAAATATCTTCTATTTATTACAATAAATCGTTACAATTGAAATGTGTAAGAATATGTAACAGTATTATATTATTTACAATTAGAGATCTAGTACAAAGTGGACAAGCAAATAATGCCCTAGTTTACTCAACAATATTAGACCCTTTGATGGTATTAATCAAGATGTGGTCAGAATACCAACTCAATGTAAGATCACTTGAACCTTCGCTCATGAACATTAATATACTTACGAGATCTCAACATTCAGGTGACATCTGATGAAATTAGTAAAAATTTAAATAAGAAAATCTAATAGAATATACAAAATTATTATAAAGGAAATATAAGGTTTATTTTAACGGCGTTTCAACATTTTTGTAGAGCTCTTCACCTTTGTATGTACCGGGCATCGTTATTCAACATCACTTGTTTGACAGCATCCATAATTCTTGTACTTTTTGCAGAAATATCTACTTAATTATTTAAACAAGTGATGCAAGATTAATATATGTAATGATAAATTACTTTTTCTTCCTTGCTTCCTTGATAATACTTAAAATTGTGATCAAAAGAGATTATTCACTTACGTCATTGGAATTTTTACCAAGTCTCAAACATCAGTACTATAATATTAATTTTAAATTAATCTTATTTATTGTCAATGATACAATCGAACTGGTCGATTACTCATGGATATCGAATACAAAACGTATTATTCAGATAATATAATTCAAAATACCTTGAATACCTATATAACATCTGGTTCTTGTTAGAGATTCGATTCATTTTCATTACCTTCGTCACTGATGGGTAGCTTTACCGTTATTTCCCAGGAGAATTCTGTTCGAAAATCGATACGTGCGTTGTCGTATTCATATATCTTAAACTGACTGCGACACAAATTTCCCAAAGTAACAGGTTCAAATTTTAATCGATTAATTTCTTACTACATATAATTGGTATGACAAGTTTTTTATACAACAGTTTTGTTATGATTATTTGTTATGCACAAAAAATTGTGACAATTTCATTTTTTTACTTATTTTTAGATTTTCGGCTTATAGCTGTAGTTTTTTTTAAATATTATGTTAAAACTTAATCTTATTTTAATATTTTGCAAATTATTAATAATTCTGACGAATATTGATTACGGAATATAGAAAAGGTTACCTTTCCACATTCGCCGTACTCGCAATATTCAGTCTTGGCTGCTCTGTCAATCTCAGTGTATACAAGAAAATAATTTTAGGCGACGTAATGAAAGTAAAAATTTTGAATCATGAAATAAAACATGACCTAGTCATGACTAAAGTTATTGGGTGTATCTGATATTTTATTAGTTACGTCCTCATCTTTCTATTATCTGGGCGAAGCACGTTAACCTCTTTCCGAGCGCAAAATCCACTTTAAGATAAGCTAAATAAGTTTGTATGATAACGGTTTGTAGATGTTTATAGATTTATGCAATACATAAAGATTATAAGGGTGTATGATATTGGAAAGCAAGTTACTTTATTTACTGGATATAGTCTAATGATGACAACTTAATTAATAAAACCTTTGATTTTCGATTTCAGATCACGCTAGTCCTATCATTGTTTCAATATATCACAAGTTAACTGATATATAAAGCCATAAACGTATTTTACCACTCAATAAATTATATCACGAGACTTGATCAGGTTCTAATTTTTTATTACACAATAAACCTTTATATCATACTCTTGAAAACCATACGTTAAATTTTATGGAATCCATAGCTTGACGCCTTTTACATAATATACTATCGGTATCTTCACTCGCTGGCAAAGATTTTTAAACTACACCAAAGTTTTCCTTTCCTTGCCCATAACTGTAAAGTTTCATTTTAAGATGGCATCGTTTTTATTGTGATTATATTTTTGTTTCATTCAATAAATTATAAAGAACCAAGAAGTGAAGATGTTTCATTTTAAAATAACACTGACCGCAATATTTTTTTGATAAAGTCTTCATTTGTGTTGATGCTTCAAAAGTCATTCGCTCGCTGCGAGTGCCTGAAGATAATCCGAGCTACCTCTTGAGACTTGTAATTCTGTGGAGACTTTGCGGTTGAATGCGTTACTGATCCCTGGGCATCTTAGCAAAAAAAATTCTAGATTAGACTTCTTAAAAAAGAGCAGCACTGTACTTAGAAATCTAGAGATAGTTTCAAGTTTCTTAGAAATCTAGATATAGTTTCAAGTTACTTAGAAATCTAGACATAGTTTCAATGACTATCTTGTTGCTTTAGGTTCTTGCTGTGTTGGCGATCAAACTAACATTTGTATTTCTATTAGGGTACTGGGATTAAAGCTATCTGCTTAAACATATAATATCCCAGGTAATATTTGGGCAACTCGATAAATTGAGGAGAGTAAATGTAGAGAAAAAAATAGTTTCCCTCTTATTAAACATTGTAGACATATTTTTAATATAAATCGTGACTGGGTATAAAAAACAATAAACTGTATTCTCAATTGACCTAATTTATTTGTAAGTAATAATTTCTTCATTTCAATTTTTCATATTGATCAGTTATGAGATATTTACAGTTAAATTAGATATTTATATAAAACAATTTTTTTCGAGTAGAAATTACTTGAATTATTTTTATAAAAGATTGATAATAATCAATACGAGTATTGACGAAAAATTACACCATTATAAAGCCGTCTCATTTAAATAAACAGTTAATTCTAATTGCTTCCTTCGGGTAACATAATTTTACCTGTGACCACATTTATTCGACTCCGAGACCAGAACGATATATGTTATACGTTCAACACAAACAAACAAAACCACACATTAACATTCATCGGCCCAAGATACTATCGACTACTAAATCAGAAGAATTTATGTAAATAAAAGATCAAATCATTTGTAACAATTTTAGAAAGAGTTTCATTATGTGAGGGTCTTACCCAGGAGTGTTCCGAATGATAGATGGATGAATGGCTCGTATGAAGAGGGAAATAGCCTCGAGGATAAGGTGACCCAAACATCATAAAAAGCGTTATGCAAAATCCAACAGTATTAACTGTTTTTAGAATACAATTTTATCACTAACCTTTGAACGTAACTTTACATGTACGTATATATTATAGCTTTTGTTCTAAATAGGGCGGAGTTGTAACTATATAAAGAATTATTTTATAGTTATTTATCGTGCTTTTATAAAACCTCTATTATAACATTAATGGGACCCTCCAAGCTCGTCGAATTTGCCGAGATAAACCCTCTACGCGGTAGTGAACGAAGAGGCATCGTCACGAATGGTCGCGTTTCTCGGACGCATTTTACCGCCAATAATACGTGTTCCTACAAATATTTTTTTGTATAACATTAATATTGCACTTAAGGGAATTACAAAATTTTGCTAAACTTTAAGTTTTATATCAATATTGATGGGAAGGTTTAGTAAAAAAAATTGCTATGACTACATTTAAGGTGTAAAGTTTTTTGACTCAGATGTTTCAAAAGTTTTGTGTATAAATGCAAATTAATTTGCGTACAAAATGAGTAGATTCGATGGTTCATCTAGGAGAGACGACGACGAGGATACTGATAACGGTGAAGGAAACGGAACAAAACATAGTAAATTATTAGGTACGTACAATCATACAGATAGCGTTAAATATAATTCAATTCAGGAACTGACTGTAAATAGTACAGTAATTATAGGTTACTGATATTTAAGACTTCGTCATTTTTAGTAACATTTAAGCTTACCTAGTTCGGGTGCTTTCAATAAACAAAAATTATTTATCGTCACAAAATTTACAAAACATAAAGGTAGTCTCTCTAAAAATGCGCAACGTTTTTGAACAAATATTGAAAATTCGCAGCATCTGAAGAAAATGTTCGTTTATTATGAGAAATACGCAGTTCAAAAAGATTTGGAATCTAAAACAAAAACTAGAGCTCTTTCAGTGTGCTGTAAGAAAATCATGCAATATATCTCTCGCGGCATCTTTTAAAATTCAATTTGATTTCTTCCGAAAATATAAAATTTCCATATTTCGTTTTCTTTTAAAATTACTACTACAAATGGATTCAAAACTGAAATATGCTGGTGCTAATTTCATACATTTAAACAGCAAGGTCTTTATTTCAAAACAAGTATGTTTATATAATAAGTAGATTTATGGATGAAACTTTTCATACCCATTATACATTTTAGTTGCCAAAATGCATACTTGGTAAAGAAAGAAATTTTATATATTACTGATAGGTAAAATGTTATAACATTTTTATTTACCTCATATCAACTGCCCGTACGTTTTGTATTTTATTTGCTAAGCTTGTGTTTCAGTATTGAAAAAATATGGATCGTATGTCAATTATTTGCTACTCTTTTAAATCCCTATACAGCATAGCAATTTAAAATACGAGTAACTAAGAAATAGTATACTTTTAAAGAGGATTGTAGTAAATCATTTAACTCGTACATTTAAAATGTTTTAAAGATAATATATTTAATATACTTTAGCTGTTCTATAGAACGAAATACTTAGTGTGCATTTCATCACCTTAATTCGTTTACTGAAGGAAATAGATCGATCGGTAATTTATCGATTGTATTTTATCTCTACGTATTGAGATGAGCAAATCTTGGTTGCTGTATATAATCAATAAATTCTATACGTATCTTTTAAGTCATTTCTTAATATTAAGTTTTGACACAATTCTACCGAAAGCTATCCATTTTAATTATAACTGTCCTTACGCTTTGTGTCTTAATTACTTCAACTTCATGTCATCTTATTCTCAAATCAAAATTTATTGGTTGGTCATATGTCTAATAGCATATTTACATATGTGCATTAAAATGTCCTATTTGCGGAAAATGCGAAAGTATTGCGAACGTTTTGTTATTATTTATATAAGTACATTTATAAATAAACATGTTGAAATGTTGTACATACATCATTATTTATAAAAACTTGGGACGTTGTACAATATTTTGTTTTATAATAGAGCCAAATATTATTTCATGATATTAACTTAAATTTAAGGGTGTATATGCATATATATACATATATGTGTCTGTGTGTGTGCTTGTGTGTGTGTTCCTTCCACACTGAACCTTATGACTGATCATTATTACATATAGGTCGATGTTGTGAAAAGTACACAGTAATAAATCAATGATTGATGGGTAATGTGTTATTTACTGAGCCTGATGATATTGATTCATTTTTAGCTATTCAGAAACCGATACATCATTTTTTGTTAAAGTTTTTTGATACATATAAGAAAATCATAAGAGTTTTAATTCTAGTTCTTGGTATATATAAATAGAATAAAAAGTTAAATATATATAGAATACGAGTATAATTAAGACTTGTGAAGGCTAATAAAGATTGTTTGTTTTAGGAAATTTTTGTTAATTCTTAAGATCTACTGTGTAAATGAAATCTTGTGAAAATTTCGAATACTTTTTGTATACCGGAAAAAATATTTCTATATGAATAAATAATATAACAGTCTGTTTATTTTTGACGAAACAGACAACACAAGGACTTTACCGCTCTGGGGCTTTGTTATTTACTGTAGGAAACACAGATAATATCAATTCCTATTTTACGCTGGAGATTTAAGAGTGAATAGAGTAAATAAAATAACAGCAGAACAAATCTTCAAGTATTTTTTAGTGACAATTTCTTTTTGGAGATATGAGTATTTGTACGAATAGACACAGTGTCTAAGAAATATCTTAAATGTACTTAAATTAGTAATAAGTAATTTAAAACAATGGGAAATACGTGATGGTAACGAGGTAGTATGATATGATAAATCCTTTTATTGCTTATACTAAAATATATATCTTGAATTTTTATTTGAAACATTATATTTTATATAGATATTATTTCCCCTTTCGAATAAATGTTATTTTATAGTCTCTGAGTATAGCTGGCGAAAGGCGAGTTGTTTTGTATTTTAGATTCTTGACCATATTAAATATATTTAGCATTTCCTATATACAATATAGCTTTGAATAATACTTATACAGGAATGGAGTACTGTAAGATCGTAAACTTTCTTTCAAATTGTTATATGTACAAAACAACATTCAGACAATACTTCAATGTTAAAATTCTGTTTGATTTAACATTTAATTAAATTTTGTATTTACTATTGATAAAGTTGTGCTAAACGAAGTAATATTAAAACAGTTTTAATTCAATATATTAATCTTAGTAGAAAAGGTGAAGTATTTCATAGTATTTTATATGATAAAATAATAACACGAGATAGAATAATATTACAGGGTGTAATATATTAGGGCCGAAGAATAATGTTTTGAATCGTATGTGGGTTAATAATATCAAAAAAATGTATTAGAAATAATAAATAAATTTATCAAAAAAATCTATATTAAAGTATTCACCGTGAAAACCATTTCTACATAATACATATGTATATTATGTAATGAAACACTCTGTATAATATTCTTTAATTTTCTTTCGATATTATAACGGGAGTGTGAGAAAGGATTTCGTGTGTTTATGACCTAATAAAAGCTGATACATTTACACAGAATGCTCAGCCGAATATGACTCATATATTAAACGTTTATAAAGGCTATAATTATATGAAACTGTTAATAATTTCTGATACGACTTGATTGTTGACGGAACAAGAGTAATTAAACAGGACACTTCGAGTAACTATATGTATTAGTAATAATGTTATTCAGTTAAAATATGTAAGCTTCATGAATTCCCTATGTAAATAAGGGAATTGCCAAAACTTAGGTTTGTTGTAACTTTGATGTAGGAACCTTCTAAAATTTAACGCTTCGATAATTTCAAGATTTTAATAGAATTAAAATGTAGATTTTCTACATATAACAGTTCTTGAGCAAACATGGTTTGTAAATTTAAAATTTTTACTACTTGAAAATTTTGTTAAATAAAATATTATGTTATATTTACCAGCTGAAAATAAATGTTACACTAAAAGTTCGTTTGTATACTAAAGAATATAGAAATTTAAAGTAACAAACCATTTTGTATAATTTTTTATTGCTTAGAGAATATTTTATTACGCTTTACTAAAATATAAGTCACCCATATTCATCTAAGCTTGAACACCTATAAGTTTTTTGGAGGATTAAAGAGCAGAGTTTTTTCAAAATTGGTATTTGTGGCGTACCAAATAACATTATGTAGCTAGCAGCTGAGCAAAATCGACTAGCTATGAAGTTGAAAAACAATATTTTCGCTCTTTAAAAACAGAGTTACTTCAGATATTCGTAAAGTAGGAAGATTTATAAAAATTAATGCATTAAAAATATTGAATTCTCGCAATCTTTGTGAGCAGAATTTTTTACTAGAGTTGAGTGTAGTAATTATACTCTTATAATTATTTTATACATTTAAAACAACGTCACATGAACGTAAATAATGAATTATAGCTCAATTCTAACATCTGACCTCATTTCTAAATAGGGACAGAAATCGAGGCGTAGCCTAAAGCGGTTTAGTGGTATTACACCTGAATTCAAAGGTTTAAGACTCTTTAAAATTACCATTATCCGCTAAGCTCATCCAAAATTATTTTTAGAACTTCCGAGTATGGAATTCATATTATAATAACTGCTTTTATATTGAATTGTGATCATTTAAAAGATTCATTACAAAAAAATATATAGCACTTAAAAAAGTTAGATATTTCTTTCTCTCAGTTAATGTACATTTAACATTTCTATAAAGAGTTGAAACGAGCAACGCTAAGTAAATATATTGATACATTGAAATACTTTTGAAGACAGATCGCGATGTTTGTCGTTCGGAATAACTAAAGGAAATAACAAATATTATAACATTAAATAAATATTTGTTCTATATTAGAAAGCACATTTAATTAGGAATGTTTAAAAAGAGCAAGGTACGTTATAAAAATAAACAGTTTTACGTAAACATCGTTGATACATATTTTCCGTTAGTATTGGATAATAAAAAAAGATACTACCAAAATATAAAATATGATACGTAAGACAAAGTAATGTCTTTTTTAATTATTATTATATAAAACCTAGTTTTTTTATATAAAAATCTAAAATCATCAGATAATACTTGATAGTGCAAAATCAATTGAGCTGTTCTATTCTTTCTTCTCTCATTAGCTGTAATATTATTACGGTTCAAAGCATCACATCTAAGTGCTTTTTAGTAAGCGGGAAATAAGAATTGGATTCCATTTGAAGTTACATGCCTCGGTATATTTTATTAAGATGAAAGCATTTTTAGTATATAATAACATTAAGTATTCATGTTTATATGTATGAAAGGTTTTTGAAATATTAATATTATTTTATATGACGTTATAAAAACTTGAAGAGGATTTAAAAAGTAAAATATTTAATTCGCTTCCTTTTTAAAACACTACGTTTCTTTGTTTTAAATAAAGGGTAACATAAAAATGATATTTTGAAAGTCTGGGTTAAAATTCAACTTATATAATACGAAGCTTTAGATATATGTGGTATTTACAAATAAACGTAATTTATATATACGAAATACATTTTGGTATTTCTTATTAAAAATTAGGCTTTTTGTTTAGTAAGCATTTGGTGCTTTGGACATTTGTAAAGCGAAACAAACTAGATCTTTTAATTATTTAGTTTATGTAAAAGGTTCATTTTCTCTCACTTTCTTAATTCGACAATATCAGTATACCCGTATTTATCTTTTCATTGTTTGAAGAAAAAAAGTCTTTACATCCGAGGTTACGAAAGTGCATGTTGTTATAACAGTCAGGTTAGCCGACCCAATAAACTAGAATAATGTTTATTTGTAAATATTTCTTCAGGAAATTCAGCATGTCGGATGTAGGCGACGTTGTTTCCCGCGGGAAATATTTATGTATGAACGAATGTTATTTCAGTTCGAATATTTTTATTTATCATTATAATTTTTCGGGTATTGTAGTCTGTTTATTTTGAAAGTTCGTTAAATATTCACGTTTAACACGTATAATGTTTTTATAATTTTACAATATGAATAGTATGAAAATTTCGTATATTTATTTATATTTATATTTTAAGGATATTATAGTTACTGCTCATATATGTATGTCGTGAGTGTTTATATTAACTGTATTGTCACAGAATTGGACTTGGATTACCTTGAGAGAGGTGGTGTTGGGGCATTGTCTATTAGTGCTCCGAGCGTAGAGCCAAGCCCTGACAGTCTAGATCTCGTCAAGGTGGTACTTCTTGGAGCACCAGCTGTTGGCAAAACCAGCATCATCCAGGTACCTACTAACAATAGCCACCACGTGCTAAGCCTTTAGACAATACTGAGTTTATACTTGACAATGCTTAAAACGTTATGTATTTTGAAATACATAATATATAGTTTAAAAGTTTTCTCTAAGTGATAAGTCAAGTCATTTCTCCATTTTCACATTCTTTTTAAAAATATTTTTTATTTCATTAAATTTATAGTAATAATTCCCATATGCGATAATAACTTTCAACATTAGATATTTGGCGTTTAATATCTCTGATATGTTTAGGATGTTTCAAAATACTTATATGTTATTATTTTATATATACATCAAAGTAGTGATAGTTTTGTATTAATAATATATATTTTCTTTACAGCAATTTGTCTGGAGTGACTTTTCTGAGGAATACATACCAACGGAACAGAAACAGACGTTCTATCCATCGGTGATCATAAACGAGCATCTATACGAGGTTAAAATTACAGATGTCCCTGTGATACCATACTTTCCCATAAACTCGTACTACGAGTGGGCACATTACAGATTTTACGGTCTGCGGAACGCTACCGCCTACATCTTAGTCTTCGATCTTTCGAACGTCGAAACTTTTCAATATATCCGAACGCTGAGAGACCAAATGGTTGAGAGTCGGGATATGAAAAATGTCCCGGTGCTTGTAGTTGGTAACAAACAGGATTTATTGTGCAGCAGCACACCATCGGCTACCAGCGGCCTTCAACAGCTAGCTATGGCTGAGAGCGCGTGCACTGACTCCAGAGAGAAGAGACGGAACATCGTGAATCTTGTCCGCAAACATTGGAAGTGTAGTTACATCGAGTGCTCGGCTAAATACAACTGGCGCGTTATAGCCGTCTTCAAAGAACTGATGGAGATGATCGATGTCTTGGAGTGGAGCGGAGGAGGAAGGAGTTCTGAACCACCGCCTGATTCAAATACCGCAGGTGGGATCTCACACGAAAACCGTTGCGCTGTTTCTTAAATCAAATTTCTTTTACCACTATTCATACTAATTGTTTTCCGACCTTCATCATAGGACTTTAATTGGAGTCCAATTAAACCAGCTCTGTAAAGCTACAAAAACTATTGGTAATTTTTAATTAACGTCGCATTGTTGTGGTTCTCTGATTAAAGGTCACGTTGAAAAGTTTTACACGATAGTTGTAACTAAATAGCGAAATGGAAAAGCAATTTTGCAATGTCTGGAACAACTGTATGGCAGAATTAGAGATTAATTGTTTTTATTTAACTTGTATTAATAAATCTATAAATTTTTTTCTCGTCAATCTTGAATAGTGAAAAAAAAAATTAAAAGTAATTCTCCATTTAATGAAACGAAGAAATCTTAGACGCAATATTAAGATACTTTCAAATGTTAATAAAATTATAAAAGTCTTTTAAAAAAATATTTAGAACTGCAACAGGGTACTTTACACTTTTCTAATTCAAATGAATTTCATGTTTAACAAAAGAGAGAGATGTATCCATCCGTTCATAATTATTAATCTTTTAGGACAAAACGCTTATACAATGCTTACATAGTTTTCTACTTTTAGTATTGTCTTATATATAAATTAATTGTTATATTTTAGTATGTTTAATAAATATATTGATATTAATATAACTCTTAATATCTGTTCTTGTAAATATTGATCTATGTATGTTTAAATTGTATCCTAAACTCCGTGTTGTGCTTTGACCCTAGTGCTTCCTTGAAAGATTTAAGGTTCGGTCCACACTATCGACGGTCTCGTGAGATACATAATGTCTTCTACAGCTCGAGAATCGATCGTGTGTTGTGGACCCTTAGACTATTGTATATAGACTTCTTAGGTACCCAAGTTATTTAAATTTACCTGTGCCAAAAATTATGTATACAATATAATTTTTTACTAAATTATTCTTAACTTTAAACATGATTAATGATTTATTGAATATCATAATTAATTCACGTCACTTCGTTAAGATTTATATTTAATAAAAATAATTCTCTGATAAATTCGTTTTAACAATGAATTTTTACAAATAGTTTGCTATGAAAATTTCTACGCACTTTGTTTCAACATATCACTCAGTTTGCAATACATTTTTACCATTATTTAGATTGATAATAAAAGTATACAAGTTTATAAATTAACCTACGTGTTGTTAGATGTGTTTAAGGGATTTAAATGTGAAAACACACATATATCATTTAGTATTTGAACTTAGTTGTTATCGCACACTTCTCGTTGTATGTTGTTGGGTAGATTTGAACTCGGAACGTTATTTGGTGCAATAAAATGTTGTGAACTATTTACCGCTTCTTTTATTTAATATCCATAGTATAATAAATCGTACTAGGGATTAACCAACCACATGTAATACTAGCTTTTGTCCACGACTTCGGTTAATTGGTAAGTTACTTCAGACCTTAATTGGTTTGGACGACAATTTTTTAAAATTACAGTTTGAAATTCAAAATTTTTAGTTATATTCTTACAATATTAGTTGTATTGTGTTATTATAGCCTTAAATAAATTTATATTAATTCAAATATTTGTGGAGAAGCATAAATATGAATAAAATTTTCTAACATACATGAAAAATAGTTTGAATTGTTGAGAGTCTTGGTTGATAGAAACTTATAATGTGAACTAAAGATTTAACTTGTTTAAAGATTTTCTCTTAGAGAAAGGCTTGTCTTAATGCCTTTAAAGGCATCGATAATTGAATTCTAGTTTATCAGACTTGCATAATCTGATTGTGGTAAACTCTGCATCACTAATCTCAACATAATAATAGTTACTGCACAATAGAGGACGTTACAAGCTTCCGTCACCAAGAAGCCCATTTCCTGTAACAGGAAATAGATCTCTAAATTATTGTCTGCTCTTTGAAACTGTTCAAATCAAAGAGAGAACTATAAAATATTTTACATGCAATCCTTTCATTTACACATCACACGAATGTGTTAAATTAATGTTTTGTATTTTATGATATAAAAATAAGCCTTTTGACGATTTGAAATGACATATTTCTCGTGGCACTTCGTTAAAAATATATATAAAAAAAAAAATCTAAAACGCAGCTAAAATATTTCCAGTGCATTTCAATTCAGTTGTTAATTATGATTCGAGTTATTTTCAACAATTATCTATGTAACATGACCTATCTTTATTAAAAATGTTTCCGTATATAAATACAAAATGTTATCCAAAATTAAAATACTTTAGTACAAAATGTATAGAAAACATACAATAGTTACGATGTAATTATGAGCTATGAATAATTAAATCGATGTCAGGATTTAATATTTAAAATTAATTTTCACAGCGGCCCGTGAAGACGTTCCTCAACTTTGTATTTAATAACGTCGAGAGGCATTCATAAAATATATTAAAGTTGATATTAAAGATTATTTTGTTTACTTCTTGTTACTTTGAAACCACAGAACAGAGTTTTATAGTTCTTTCACTAGGGCAAGAAAAATTCCAAAATAAATTATCACGTTGAACCAAAACGTCGTTTAATGTGTGCTTCAAACTTTAGTGGTTGTATGTATATACATATTATTATCACTACAATGCATATTAAATTATCTTTCAAGACCTTTCTTATCCTTATCTTTTTATTAATAAAATTTTCTTTTCTTTTTAAGTGAGTCTTTTTAAATATATTAATGCTTTATTTTATACCGAAGTCATTTAAAAATATAACCCGTTCCTGACAGGAGAGGATGCTCAATTTAAAATCCTTATCAAGTCTCTTTGTCTTGGCAATTGGATTTAATAGTAATTTGTAAGTTTCCAAACGATTTTGATTTCTATGTTAATTGCAGTAGATACCGATATGGTTAATATGACGATATCTTAAATCTTGTAGGATTTTTTTAATGAGCATGTTTTTTGTATATGTTCGGGAATAATTGTTGCATTACAGTACACTAGAGTAACTCTAAACAAACGAATTTAAAAATTTTGTAACCTTCCTTTCCTGTTTAGAAATATCATCAGACATATAGAACAGGACTATACAAAAACAAATGAAAAGATTTGTAGAACATTTTATTTTGCACGTATCTTTTTTGGTTTGTATTAATTAATGGCAAAAGTTATTAGTGATTTTTTAAATTAATGATAGTTAAAGCTAGTAATTTTGGAAAAACTTGTATGGTAATTAAATATAATAAAAATTAATATAGCCTCTGTATCCGTATTTTTTTTTGCCTTTTGTTTGCCTGTGTCAAAGGCTTAACATTTAGTTTTAAAACATATTAAATTAAATATTAAAATGTTTTTTTTATTCCTTGAGTTATTATTCATACATAATATATATTTTGATCTTTTCACATTTACACGTCAAGAGTCAGTTCTGGTATTTAGACTTTAGTCCCGCAATTTAAAGCAACTAGTTCTATATTCATTTATAAATACTTTTTTTAACAGTCTACCGCAAAAAAAAAAAACGGTTTTTGTTGGATTATACATGTACAGAAAAAAGTTGAAGTAACTTTATTATTTAAAGAATATTTCAATGTAAATCTAAAAACCAGTAGAACTAACAATTGGATAAATAATATTATAATCTATCTATACCCTACTGTAGTATTCATGTGCTGAAGTCGCTAAAGGACACAATATAAAAAAAAAATATTGAGAAAAAATGTATAAAAAAACTAAAATTAAATTTAAAATCTCTCACAGTTCAAAACCTTCTTCCTTCGAAATCTTATTTATTTTTCATTTCAATAATATTATATATGTACTATTAACACTGATATAATATTTAATCTGCTTATATTATTATATTCTTCTTGCAAAATTATTTTATAATATATAATTAATTAATTTCATTGTTTGTGAGAATACTTTTGTTCGAATTTATTGTTTGTAATACTCACTCGCTATGTAGGACTACATATAAAAATACTTATTGTTAACACACTCGTGAATGATAAATTAATATAATTTTTGATTACAGCAAAGCGTAATAAATACCTGAATATTCCTTTTTTATATAAGTGAATAACTAATTTCTTAATGAATAAAAAAAACTGTATAAAATAAAAAAGTATGTAAAAAAGATGATTTTTACGATTTCAAATTAAATATTAGAGTTAAAATAATATATTTATATATTACAATTCTGTTGTTTTGCATTATTATTTTGTAAGGGGTGATCGGAAATCAATATCGTGTATCTGTAATGGCTAGTAATCTGAAGTGGTATAATTAAATCTGCCGTACTAATAGACAAAGCTAGCCTTAACTGATAATTCTACCTTTAAATTAGACTGCTAACAGTAATTTTGTCAACATAATAAGATGAAAACAGTGTAAATATTGGAAAAGAAAACATAATGTTTTACCATTTTATAAAAGCTTAAAGAAAAGGAAATTTCTCGTGTACACATTTAAATTAAATCATGTTTTCGCAGTTACTTCGTATATTTGATTAATATGTATTTCGTTTGATGTTTCGAGTACAATGAAGTACTTTTTCATTATATTGGAAAAGTTAATCAATAGTGTTATTGTATCGTTGACAAGTTTCTAGGTAAGTTGTGTAATATACTTCCACCATAGTATTGTATAACACTATTTGGAGCTGAGCCAAACTTCGAAGGTATCTCCGACTCGGCAATTTCGGCCTCTGATAATATATTGAGTTGTAAATCTTCCTAATACTTACTAATGTTCTTTTTTACTTTGTAGTTTTATAAATATGTGACTTCTACAATACAATTTCTACAGGAGGTACTAGATTATTATTCTATAACAATAAGAGATTGTAATATTTAAAATGTTTTGTAAAAAAAAAAAAACGTTAAAATTGTAACCGAGGAAATTTTTAAGTACATTTTAAAATAGGGTTAGTTTTGTAAGGTCAAATGAAAAAAAATTTGTTAATCATGTGTCCATAATTTGTAATAAAAATATGCGATTAACAAATGCATATTTAA